GGGGGCCGTGTGGACCCGGCCAGTGCTGCACAGAGGGGCTCTGCACACAGGCCTCTGAGAACAGCGAGGCCCAGGTTCGGTCCCCGAGTCTGCCGGTTACCGGTGTGCTGTTAGGAGCCGCACATCACAGTCCTCGTCTGCAGAGGGGCTAATGATATCTGCTTTGCAGGACTGCAGCGGGGTGGGGACGCACCAGCTAAGGCACATACAGCCCTTGGCGGAGTGCCTGTGACACAAGGATCACACACCTGTTTGCAGCTCTTACTATCGCATTCATGAGAGTCAGGGCTGCCTGCGCCCCTGGCTGTGCTACACCGCACAAGAAGACATGCAGCAGCGGGAGCATTTAAGAGCTGTCACCGCGCAGTGGTCTGGGCCCTGCGCCTGAAGGAAGGAGCACTTTCTAACACTGATCCACGCCGGACTTTCCCCAAGGACCAGCGGCAGCCCGGAGCCCCAGGCGGTGAACAGGGCATGCGCAGTGCAGCCCGCATTCAGGCCGTGGGCCGGCTTTCCAGCGCAGGGGTGAGGCCCCCCGGGGGCCCGCTCACCTCGGCACAGGGGCTCCGTGTCGTTCCAGTAGGGGTCGCGCACGTTGACGCACTCGATGATGGCCGGGCCCTGCTCCAGGGAGTGTCCGGGGTCGCAGGTGAACTCCACCACCGTGCCAAGGCTGTAGGTCAGGTCGGACGTGGTGAAGTTCCCGTTCTGGATGTAGGGCTCGTAGCAGTGGCCTTTCTCAAAGGCTGTGCGGAAACACAAGAGGGGGAGCACCCGGGATGGGTCGGGGTCACCCTTTGTGCCACCATCTAGAGGGTGGCTTTCCTCCCACTGTTCAGAAAAGCTCCAAGGACCTGGGTGTAGGGTGTGCGCCTGTAATCTTAGCTCTCTGGGAGGCTGAGGCAGGAGGATCACAATTTAAAACCCAGGCAGGGAAGTTTAACGATGCAATGAGACTCCCGCAGTAAAAAATAAAAAGGTCTGGGGATGCAGCTCAGTGCAAAGGGAAGGAGGGAGGAAGGGAGAATGAAGACCAAATCTCCAGGGAAACGAGGGCCTCAGGTGTGTTCTGCATTCTGGTCACACCTGAACCACACAGATCCCACCCTTGGCCCTGTAAAAGGCCAGTCCAGTGTACTCCCTGTGGCCCTCACTTCCTGCCTATGACCGAGACCACCTTTTCCTGGGGCACCAGGACAGAAAGTGCCAGGATGTGCACAGCACAGGGCAGCTGGGCTCTCAGAGGAGCTGCTGGGTGGGAGGCTCTGAGTGGGAGGACCCCTTGAAGGCTGCGCAGAAATCTCGGGCTCCATTCTGACGGACTGACAGCTTCGGCAAGGCATCCCAGGCCTGGGCACCTCACCTAAAACCAGATGTGGTGTGCCCAGGGTCACAGGAAATGCACAGAAGCCGGGCGTGTTGGATGGCCCATGCCTGTTAATTCCAGTGATTCAGGAGGCTGAGGCAGGAGGATCACAAATTTGAGGCCAGCTAGGGAATTTAGTGAACAACTGTCTCAAAGCAAAATAAAAATAAATGAATAAAAAGGCTGGAAATGTAGCTCATTGTGAGGCCCTAATTTTAATCACTGATACATAACACACACTCACACTCACACTCACACACAGAGGCTCTGGATGTGCAGTCTGTGTTCACCATTGTTAGGAATAAAACCACAGCCTGCCCTTGAAAACTGAAGAACCAGTCTGACTGCCAGGGCCCCTCTTTAGCAGCCTCTGTGTCTCCCTCCCAGGTGTGCACCCAGCCCCGAGATGCTCACCCTCAAAGCGGATGTTGAAGGCTGAGGCTGCCTGGCCCTGGCCGGATGTGAACTCGATGTGGATGCTGCTGCTGTCGCTCAGCAGCCCCTCGAAGGGGACGCTCTCGGTCTGCAGGGAGTCGTACAAGAGGGTGGACTTGTTGGTTTGCCCACTGTACACCATCATCCTGCAGGGAGAGGAGAGGGTCACTGAGCGGGCGCTGGGTGGGTCACTGGCAGCTAGAGGGCTGGGCTGGGCCCCACCCTGGTCCCACTCCAGGGTTCAAGCCCTGCCTGGGCTTGGTCTCGCCCCTGGCTGCTTCAGCTGGCCAAGCCTCCTTCCTCCTCTGTGGAAGAGAGTAGTGCGTGTCCCAGAGTCTCCCTCTTTCTTTCTGTTTTGTTTCTGCAAGAGTAGGGATTGAACCCAGGGCCTCTGCACAGAGCTACATCCCCAGCCCTTTATTATTTTTTAGTTTGAGACAGGGTCTTGTTAAATTGTCCAGGCCAGGATCTAACTTGTGATCCTCCCACCTCAGCCTCCTGTGTAGCTGGGATTATAGGAATGCACCACTAGGCTCAGCCTGGATGTTTTTAGATTCATTCAGAAGTTGCAGAGAAAGTGATGTGTCTGATACAGCTAATGAGTCAGATGAACCAACGTTGATTATCATTTATAATTGAGAATTTGGGATTAGTGGACTACCATAGTAACTGGGACCACGGTGCATACAGTTAGGGCGTTCAGGCTCGGTCCCAGCTCCGTAACTCCTGGCTGTGTGACTTAGGACAGAGCAGCTCACCTCCCTGAGCTCCACTCTCGGCCTGGCTGCACTCAGGTTTCCATCAGAGTGTGGGTGTAGAAAGTGCCCAGGCAGAGCAGGTGCGAGTCTGCCAGCTCTGTCTCTGACCCTCATTTCCAGCCCCCTGCTCCCCACCAACTGAGTTCCGCAGGTCTCAGAACTCCTCTGGGCCTCAGTTTCCCAGTTGTGAGAGGAGGGCTGCTGAAGTCTCTCCTCCTCACCTCACAAGCGGGCTTCTACACTGTATCAGGATAAAAAGTGCCCTGAAGGTGAGAATGCGTTAGAAAACCGGTTGGATATTCACTTTTATTGTGATGCGAACTATGTAATACTTGACTCCTTGCTAGCCCTGGAGGTTTAAAAAAAATATGCAAAAGTGGGGACGAAGACCATTTATAAATTAGGTAAATTTCTTCTATGGAGTTACACAGACACACGTTTAATCCACTGAGGGTTTTTTTTTCTTTACTGCCCACATACAAAGGTTTATTCCTTGCCACTCAGATGAATTTCTAAGCCACCAGAATGCAGACGCTGGAGCTGGTGTGTCCTCTGCCCTGTGTTCACATGGCCGTGATGGGAGAGGGTGGTGGTCTAGGTCCCCAGGTGCCCAGTTCTGGCCCCTGCTAATTCTGCTGTGTGCCCAGAATCTCCTTTCAAGAAGAGAAGTTTTTGGTAGAGGTCATTGGGAGGGAAAGCCTAAAATGCTGAAATCTCTGAAGTCTATTCTAAAGTAGCTGTTTTTCTCAGGCTATGTTCCCTAGACTGTCCGTGATAGTAATAAGTTTTGTCTCAAATCCTTATGCAGTCTGTGTTAGACAGATATGAGAAATGGGTTAAACAAGAATCCAACTCCCCCCACCCAGACTTACCAGTGCCTTTGCTGGCTAATGTACAGTAGGAGCTTCCCAGACAAGGCTGCGGTAGGCACGTTTGACCAGATTACCCACCTTGTATGCTGCAAGTTGTGGAACTGGAGTTTAGAAAAATCATCATTCTGGGGGAAATCATGAAATTCATGTTTTTTCTTCTACTCAATGTCCTTCCAAGGCTCCCTACTGCCTACAGAAATAGCCTGGCATTCTTTGCCTTCAGGATAGAACCCTAACTTATCTTTCCAGCTCTACGCCTCTGCTCCAGCCTCCTGAAAAGCTCTCACCAATTCCTCTCCATACCTCTGTCTCTGCCCCGCTTGATTCTCCTTGGCTGGAATACTCTTCCCACCGAACTTTTGGGTTCCTTTCGGAATTATCCTATCTCTGTCTGCAGTTTAGATCCAAGTCTCATTTCTGCTCCCACCACTGGGCCTATTTTAGCCATTTTTACTGCATCAAGTGCGTGGGGCAGCTGCCCTTCATTTCTCCTTTCTTCTTAGCCCAGCGAGTGTCTCCATCCTTTCGTGTGTAACCTTTGACCTCAGGGAACTATGACAAACTCCCTCTCCCGCTGGTGCCTCGAGGCCCGGTTTCCCTGTGATCTCCACAGATCTTTGCAGGTCCCAGAGAGGCTGGGAGTGAGCAGGGTCCCTGTGTCCCTTCGGCCCATTCATTCACATGCTAGAAAAGTGTCCTCTGCTGGGGTTTCTACGTCCAGCTTCTCCATCGGAGCCTCCAGGAGTGAGGGCTGGGGACCTGGATATTCCGATGGGGCCCCCTTTGGTGCCATATGCTGGAGGCAGTGACGGATCGACATGGAACTGCTCCCTACAAACACCTGGACTTGGCAGGAGAGAGGGGCTCCAGGATGGGCAGGGGACTCTGTGCTCTGCTCTGATCCCCCCACATCCCCTTCAGCCCCAAGCGTTCAGAGCCTAGGTTCGAAGCAGCAAAGACACCACCGCAACAGAACTGCGGTCACAGCGTCGGGCTCCACAGTTCTAAGGCGCCGACGTCCTGGAAGGGCAGGGCATGGCACCCTCTCCTCGGCTCCCTCACCCAGCTCCCAGCATCAGGCCCCGGGCGCCCATGGGCAGAGCCGCAGCGTCCCAGCAGCCCCAGTGCGCTAAGGCGTCCTCTGTCCACCATTCGCCTTCCCCTGTCCCAGCCGGTGCCCACGAGGACCCACTCTGAAATCCACTGCCCCTCACAGCCTAGTCACACGTCTTCCTCCAGCGGACCCGACCTCGGCCAGCAAGGCTGAGCGTGGGGCTCCTGGTTTCCCACAGCACGCTGGAATGACGGGGAGTTTTAAGATTCTGGATGCTGTGCATCTTTCACACAGCCTGCAGGTGTGCTCTGGCTTCGAAGCTGGCCAGCAAAGTCTCCCTGCTTCCTCCCTGTGCCCCGGCCCAGTTCTCCCACGTCAGCGTCCTGTCACACAGGTACCAAGCCGCTCTGCTGCGAGCCGGTTCTCCACGGAGCGCGGTAGGAGCCGGGCTCAGAGCAGGTCCCCCGCTGGCGCCCCCTCCTGGTCCAACTGCAAAATGCGACACCCAAGAGAGACCGAGGCCGCGCTGGGAGTGCGACCCTGACTCCCTCCTGCCTCTTCCTGTCACCTGCTGTGTGACCCGGGCAGAAAAATGGAAGCGGAAGGACATTAGGATCTTTGCCAGGCTCCCCAGGTAGATCTTTATAGGAGTCCGGGAGCCGAAGTTTTAGCCATTTCCGGACTCTGAATCCCCAGAGGCATGCTGAGGCTCTGCGGGGAGTGTGGCTGGATCAGGGGCAGGCTGTGCCCCCAGGGCTGTACCTGACAGGGCTTTACCTGTCCTTGTCATGCAGCAGTAGCCGCTCAAAGTGCAGGTGCAGCTTCTGTCCCTCGGGTGCTTCGATGGTCCACGCACAGAGCTGGCTTCCGGTGCTGTTTCCAGGGTGGCTGGGAGACAGGACCCGGCCGATGGTGGCGTTGTGCACTGCTCCTCCACAGGGGGCTGGGTCCAGAAATCAGGGGGTGGTGGTTGGGGGGAGAGCGAGTAAAGGGTGCTTCTCTCTCTCCTGCCCCACCCCCACCCCTAGCTAGGAGGAAACAGAAGGACCAGGCGGAACTGGGAGGAGACAGGTGGGGAGCAGAGTTGGGAAGGAGCTTAGGAGGGGGAGGGA